GAAAAAAAAAAAGGTTCAAGCCGTTAGTTAGATAGCTATTGGGGCAACTTACTATGAAAGGTTATGGATTCAATATCTCGTTCGGACCTGGGTTGACGTGGAAATGGACTTGCTGCTACCAGGGCAGTCAGGAGAATGTAGACCAAGATGTGTGAGGAAATCATGATATCGCCAGGTTCCTTAGATCTAGGAAGTATGGGATATCTGAATGGGAAAATAGAGCAAAATAAGAGTAGCCCCGTTATGGGGGGTTCTTACAAAGGGAACTGGGGCATTAAATAGATTTGGGAGAATCGGAACCCGGGTCCAAACCTCAGGGAATCAATTCCTTTGACGTGACACTCGGCCTGCGGTAGGCTCATGTGAGGTCCCGAGTATCTCCTGTCTCAGAATTATGTATTGAATCAAGACGTCTATTCAGCCCTTAACGCCAGGGTCACAAGCCCTGCCGCAGGTATACTTTGCAACAACAACAACAACAACAACAACAACAACAACAACAACAACAACAACAGAAATAGCAGCAGCAGCACCGGCAGCAGATAGAGGCACAAGAAAAAATGGCCTCGGCAGGCGGGTGTTGTAACCGCCCATGGCCCCTACTCTCCCGGTTTTTGGGCCTGCGGTTCTGCACAGTAACCCACTCATGGGTTTCTCTCCAGGGTATAACAGGCATACATACGCCATGATTCAGTTCACCTTTTCTAGCCTTGGGGATGGGTGCATATACAAAATTAGCTCTCCAACAGTTAACAGCAAACGGCGGCGCAGTGCATGTCAGGGAGATGCTTGAGCTAACAGTAACAAAGCTGTTCTTTCGTGGAAAGCGGGTCTCTAGTTAACTGACTTTGATGGTCAAGTTGGAGCAGCCGTAGAGGCAGAAGGCATTCAGCTCATCCATAGCTAGTAGTTAGCGCTCAGCCTGCGCTTGTAGTTATACCGCCGAGTGCATTTCAGCAGTGTTTGCACCTGGATTGCTCAGAACTCGAGAGAGGGTGTGAAGAAAAAGAGGTTGCCTCAAGTTTCAGCTTTGATTACGTAGTTAACTAAACTCACTAACTGGTTACTTCGTTGTTAACTGGATAACTGGGGCAGGGATAGGCCGCTTTTAGGTTCTATTCGACCAACCTATCTATATAACTTGTACTCTGGTTACTTGTCATCAATGCATGGTAATCCAACATTAAACCACGCATGGGGCTGTGCAGCTAGGGTCTCTGATTAACTTCTGGAGAGGCAACCGGTTATAAAACTGGCCTCTTTTATTGTCTTGCTGTTTCATTCAGATCGCTTCCTTCTCGCCGTTTTGCCCATATTCAACATATTACCTGTTAACTAACCCCGTACCAACTTAAGAGCTAACTTAACTACAAACACATTGTCCTAGAGAGTACTCCATAAAACTGTCCCTTTAACACTGTTGAATCTCAGCAATATGGCTTCTGCTTTGCTACCCAAGTTGTATCTCCTCCTATCCTTGCTCTCCGTCGTCTTTGCCGATGCAAAAACTGGACCATACCGTATGACTGCGCCCTCACAGATAAGATGGCAAACATGCTAATGTCTTCACAGCCCTTGGTGTCAGCTTTGGCCCAAGATATATGTGGGTCTTCAATTTTATTAACGAGTGCTCCCTGTGAAATACTGAAGTTAGGGATCTCTTAGCAAAGTTGCTTATATCGACTCCGACGACAAGCCGGTTACAGTCACCAGCATCAAGGGGAGTGACGAGTACCGTGCCTTTATGGAAGACACAGAGAGAAATGAAGGGGTCATAGTGTACGTTCATGAACCGTCTGTTGCCTTATTCCTCCCTCTTGCAACCTGGCTAAGCCCTAGACAAGTCAACGGGCAGGGGAGTGGTACATCCGGGACGGTGAATCTCTCATCCCAACCCCAATGCCAGAAATCAGCCCTGATTATAAGGAGCTCTTTCGCACGGTAATACGCAGCACCAAGGAAGAAGTTTTGAACATCCTGGGTGAGCCTCGAAATATCACCGCGATTTCCGTTCCGCAATATTTCAATGACAGTTCGATGGGCATGATTTTCAGTGCCGCTTCAGATATTGAAAACAGTATTCGGTATTGGCAGGTCAAGAAACAGTTCTATCTTGGACGCTTTGCGTACGGACTCAGTTCGTGCGAAGGTTTTGGCCTAGATCCGAAGAACTGCAATGTTGAAGATGATCTCCCTCCGATCATATTTGTTGATTATAATGAAGAATATCTACAGATTATGTTGGCAGAGGTGGGGGAGTTCACATTCGGGGACTTGTACAGTGTAAGGCTACCCAGTCTTGGTGCAAAGCGACTGCTTGACAATGTAAGTGCTGAACACACCGCCGAATAATCCTTCCAAACATAGTGTGAGATCTAATAGTAGCTCTCCTAGAATTTGGATGAATACAGACTCGAATTGCAGAGCGCAATTCAAGACTTCAAGGACCGTGTCTCGGTTGTATATATCGATTCTGTGGGTGAAATTGTGATGAGTGGTGAAGCGCCAAAGCCGGCATTTGAAATCATTCGTGACGCGATTGCTGCTGTTCTCCCTCACCATGTTGGTATGATCCGCGACTCGATTGATCCGCTCTTCACTGATGCTGTGGGGGCTGCGGAATTTGCCAAAATTCTGGTTTTGGACCCTGAGGATTCTCATGTAGATGTCTGTAATCTCCACGATGAGCTATGACTTTCTATACCTAAAATATGTTCAAATTGGTGGAACTGTAGATAACCCGGACTATAAGGATCATTTTGAACTGGGCGCGGCGCTTGAACAAACCGGATATACACATCTTAGGACTGGAGTGGATGTCCCGTTAAGCACGGTTTGATCCCTGCGGGAAGAGTTACAACAGCTTCCCAGGGAAATATTCTCCGAGGAGTCTCCTCGTTATCAATCCAGCAGCGCGGCCAACCGCCGAGGAGTCTTTAAAACATTCTTTTGTTAGCTCGGTCTGAATAGTGTCCGTTGCGAGACCGAGGAAACCTCAAGGGTAGCGCATGAAGGGGAGAGCATCACGAAGTACGAAGGGCCAAGTCGGGAAGAAAGTACATAGTTAACCTGATCTCCCAACGATGTATCCCAGGAAGTTAGTTACACCGAAGAGGCGGAAGGCCACGGGAGTCTACCTACCTCACTGGCTACCTGTAGTTACCTACAGGTTGTGTCCACCATACACGAATGCGAGCAGCAGCCTGCATGGAAATAATATGTAGACGTTTTGAGTTACCGCCTCGGCTTCTGGTGCCTGGCTAGTAACGCGCTAAGAAGCTAAGAAGCCCATCAGATGCAGCCTGTGCCGCTAGACTAAATCTGGCTTAGCGTGGTTAGACAGATACGCTCAAACTTACTAGCGGTAATTGACAAAAAGTTTATGCGCCGGGGATGCGGAAGATGCACGTGACATATCTTGATGTGATGACTAATACCAACGTCCTCTATAAAAAGAGGAGCAAAAGGAGCCACGCAGTCCTCGACGTCTCTGCTTCCGGTAGCGATATTTACCAGCACTCAAGTGCATAGAGGAAAGCAAAGTGAGCTACAAACTACTGTATTGGAGAATGGTATATTGTGTATTCCCATGGCGCTGGAATATACGGGATTCCCTACTATACCCAGTTTTCTCAATGCTGGAAAGCCAGAAGCATCAAGCATGGAGAGCGAGTTATTATTCTCTCCATGCATCTTCTATACCTCCGTGACTTCTGAAGGAACATAGACATATATGATATCCCAAACGTCTCTGTAGAATGCACTAATTATACCCCAGCGAGTAGCTCTATATCTCTCCTGCTGCTACTGCCTAGTATCCATCTGTGCCTTGTAATCCATCAATAGCTCTCTCCTAGATGGTCATTGAATAGAGCGTCCCCTGGGCCACAAGTGTCGGCAGTGCTGCTCTCTCTCTCTCTCTCTCCTTTGGTCAATGGTTGTCCTGCGCCTACGTTTGTCTTGGTTTACTAGCGCTTTCCATGTCATGTGCTTGCTCCTGCCCTCACCGTCACGTCTACCCGATTAGGAAACCCCCGCGTTAACGCGATGTCCTGCTTCTCCATCACGAACTTCGTCTCTTCTCTTCCTCTTCTCTTCCTCTTCTCTTCCTCTTCTTTTCCCTCCCAGCCCACCCCAGCTCCAACCAGATACCTACCGGTCTACCGTTCATCTGTCTCTCCGTCTCTGCAGCATACCATCAGCCATACAGGCCAGCAAGAATACCCAGCGAGAATGGGCCCCCAGACCCTCGGCCTCTTTTTGATTGTCCTTTTTGTTGCTACCCGAACCTCCCGTGTAATGTCAGCACCCGCATTGACTGCCCGAGATTCCCCCACTGCAGGCGGGGCCGCGACAGGTGAGACTAATGGGCAGATCGCCGCAAGGTGGATGGTCTATTTCTCTCCACTTGTTGGTCTTATAATTTCGGTGCTATCGGTGACGGTAGTACCGAAGCTTGTATTGTGGTTCAAGAACCTCGGGAAGACGGGAGATGAGATTATCAAATCTCAGGAAGAACAGATTGAGACAATCAGGCGGGACGTCAGTGCTTTGAAGTCCGTTGTTGATAACATCAAGTCTCACGTTGAGCCAAACCAGCAGAACTATAACGATCTGAAGACAAGTGTAGATGAAATAAAGACTAGCATTAACAGTCATCTCAAGGCTGTTGAGGCGCGTCTTTCTTCCATTAACACACGCCTTGCCATTCTTGGTAGAAAGTGTGAGGCCCTCAAGGCCGGACAGGATACAATCCGGTCCACCCTTGATAATCTCATGCAGAAAGTCAAGGATGGAGAGCCGTTTCGGGGTACAACCTCGGACTCGCTCCAGAAAGTTATAGAGAAGCAGGACGGTTTCAAAAAGGGGCTTGATGCCTTCAATGACAGTCAGAAAAGAACTCTCGAAACGCTTGACCGGCTCATTGAGTTCATTCCTGCTTTGGTTGGGCAACCGGCTAACCCGCAAGTCGCTGGACAAGGTCCCGACTAGTGGTGCGGCTGGTTCCCCCGAGCTCTCCCCCTGCATAATTCCTCCCTGGGCTTGCCCTTGGAGAGTTATGCGGTGTGTCATTGCGAGCTGACTTCAGTTCTGTACCTGCGGGTATTTTTGATTTTTCTTTTGTTCGTATGTATGTATGCACGTATGTATGTACGCTCGCGTCTCGGTCAAAAGCTCACACCTCTTCGTGGTGATCGGGACGAGTAGTTGGTGATCACGCTGTTGGTCATTAACGAAACGAAGATGAGCTATTGTATCTCACATGGCTTGCCCTTTTTTTATTTTTTTATTTTTTAACATCCATATCACCTGTATGTCTTTCTCCATGTGAGAGTCATTTCCATGTCTATTTTTTGTCTTTTTTCTTTTTTTCCCCCCTGATATTACTTTGTATCGAGGGTCTGGAACCGGGGTTATTCTCAATTTGCCAGTGCCAATGCCCTATCTCATTCTCTGTCCCAATGCCTTTCTCGATCGGTAGGGATGACACAATCGACAAAGTCATGCAAATGTGTTAATTCACATTGGTTTATTGGGATAGAGTGGTTCTCGTCTATCTCCAAAAAACCTTGGCAAACGTGATACCACTCCCCATGCTCTGTATTTTCACACTGGCCTACATTTTCCCATAGAGTGGTTCGAAGAGCAGCATATCCAGGTTTATCGCGGAGGTGAATAATAGAGTATTCTCTCTCAGCGCCGCACCATTCACACCTATAACACGTGGGGGGGAGTTCCTCAGTCAAATTAAATTCCATCTTAAATGGACTCCAAAGATGTTGATAGTTTATCAACGCTACTTGAGTTGCCCTTGCCTTCGATACTGGATTTGACAGGTTATATTCCACCCATACGTACCGCCTGAATTTTAGGTTGACGCCACCCCCATTGTCAACACACTTTATATCCATGCAGTCTACTCCCTTGATGTCCTTGTCTGGTTCGAACATGGGATATTGCGTCTGGGGCACCAGATCATGCTCGCTGCGTCCGTGTCGTGGACCAAACCGATGATGATTCACAACCTCTTTGGCATACGTATAGGGGAATAGAAATTTCCACTGCCCAAAGTGTATGAGCCCGCGCCCAGATTCACAAGGTAGCCAGGGTTGCCAGATATCCCGTAACCGGCGATGGAATTTTACACAGAGATAGCAAAGGATGTGGTCTGGAAATTCCAGCTCCAGCCGCTGCAGAAAGTTTATCCGATATGACGGCTCGGCTCGCAACTCTTGGAGAACTCTTGTTCCATCCACAGCTACGAAAGCGGCTTTGCAGATCAGTGCAAGCGAGGCTGTATCCACCAGGGGCAGGAAGGATACTACAAGGTAGTACAGGATATCGGCGCTGAGGGAGTGGACTGGGGATTGTGGCTCAGCTATCACTGGCTCGAGTTGAACTTCCGTGAGATTGGATTCATTTTCAAATATATGGCTTTCATGTGGAATCTCGACTTCTTCATCGTCGGATAGTCCACAACACGATGCCCATAATTGACGGCATATCCAAAGAGCCGCAGTGGACTTCAACCCGCTAAATTTCATGCTACAAGAAGAAGATCGTATATGTCGAAAGAGGATGTAAGAGAAGTGGAGGAATAGGCTCTTCTACGAGCCAAGAGCTGTTGTCAAGTGATGTGTTGCGTTGTAAGATAGATATAATAGAAATGGCACAGTTCATCCGTGACTCTGATATCTGTCCATGTAGTGACTGCACTCATGTTGGTGTGATATATGTATCTACGTGGTTGAAGCACGTTAACTACAAGTACGCTGTAGAAAGCTATAGACGTCATTGATGACTGTCCGTCGACTCGTCAAATATGATTGGTCTGCCTTGAGAGCTAATTTTCTTGACCTGTGATTGGCTGTTGTGTCTAAGAACTTCCCCCTTTGAACCCCGATCTCAACGTCCATAAAGAGACTGACAGGACAAGAAGAGATAGACAGCGGGACGAAGGCCGTCGAGGAGCAGGATGTATCCGTACGGAGTACGAAGTACCACTGCTGCCCCTAGTAAGATTGAGCGTACGGGCTGGACCGCGCTAACTAACTGGATGTCCATAAGTAGGGGAAGCCACCTCATGCCGCCAAGTTGACTCCATCGCGATGGGGCCAGGTCGATACCTACAAGCTCACTAACTAAGTATGGACTCTTCTCTGTGGCCGGCTCCGAGAGTCGTGTTATGATATAAATTATTATTTTAAGTTACCGCCGGCGTACGGATACAGGTGCAACTCTTACACTGGCTCTGCGCACCCAACGATCTCCATCACGGCTGGACTCTGGACTCCTCCTGTCCGCCTGTCCGCCCGCCTGTCTCTTTGTTTGTTTCTCGTGGGTTGTGCAGCAGCATCAGCAGCATCAGTAGCAGCAGCAGGCAAGGGAGGGCGGGCGGCTCCAATCATCCAGCTCCCCTGCAACATGGTTCCTCCCCGGCTGTGTTGCCCTCCAATTACAGATCTTTCCGTACCTCTCCACGTCGGACCCATCATATCTCCCGTTGAGAAGTCCAACCTAAACAGCTCAGCAGCAGAATGGGCAGGCAGGCAAAGCAAACCGAGAATAGCCTTGGAGGGGGGAGGGAAAGGGAAGGGTGTGCGAGCTTGTGGCGCCGAGGCAGTCGACTGAGTCCAGTTAGGGCGGATGATCTGCTTGCCTGTGAGGAACAAGCGGTGTCTCGCGAGAGAGTCAGAGTGAGTGCCTTGCTCGTAAGTGTCAAATCACCCGACAAAATCACCTGAGAGAAAAAGGCAAGATGGAAGGGAAGGGAAGGGAAGGGGGGTGTGTGTTTGGAAAAGCAACGCAACGCGCATACATCTTCGCTGGCATGGGTTTTAATTCCTCGAAGGGCTCCAAATCTGCCCTCGTTGACGCTCTGTGCGACCAAGGCTTGTCTGCCAAACTTCGAGAACAGACGGTCTTTTTTTGTTTTTGTTTTTGTTTTTGTTTTTTTATTACACAAGAACGAGCTCGGTATGTATGTATGAACGTATGTATAAGTATGGGCTGCTCCTGTTTCTAGATGTCTCAGGGTCCTTTGATTTCGTTTGAAATACAGGAGTTACTTCGTTACATGGCACCAAAAACAGCCAAACAGAAAGCGGCGTTATCCACACACAGGGACACCTTATCACGAAGCCCACGACCAATCATTATTAGGCAAGCCGACGCCTGGAGCGCTTCGTTCCTGGGCCAGCATGTCCAATTAACACAGGGCAAACCATAAACGGGCTATATGATCGCTGGTTCTAAGGTCGGTCTCCCGGCCCTCAAGCTTTCCAGCCAATATCGACCGAAGGAAAACAAAATATTATACTTGCACATAACACCCTCGCTGCCTCCTGTGCACATCGAACAAAAACGGTCAAAGTTTTGGCCCCAACAGCTGTGTAGGCCCAGTCGACAACGATGCTTACTTGCATAGTTGCCAGCGCTTCACCGGACTACCATTTGCCACGGAGCGTGAAACTGATGATAATGCTCACATGAAATATAACTACTTAGACGGCGCTTGATAGCCACGGGAAGGCAGACTAAAGAAAAGCAAGGCGACGAAGAGCCAACCAGCTAGCCAGCTCGCTGCAACGACGAGGACTACTGGTGTTTATTTATTTCTTTCTATTATTATATTACTTACCTCCGTGCAGCTCTGCAGGTTTCCCTCTGGCCAGCTCCACTCCCTGGTTTCTACCTCTGGCACCCGGCGTCGGTATCACCTGTCCTGTGGGAGAGCTGCCTGGAAGGATTGTTACTGGGCATCCCCGTAGCTACTCCGGACGTTCCTCAGAGCCGGAAGAAAACGACAGAAGAAGAAGCAGGATAAGAAGGAATTGAAAAAAAAAGAAGAAGAAGAAGAAGAAGAAAAGAGAAAAGGGAAAGAGAAAGAAAAGAAAAAAGAAAGAAAGGAACAGTGGCAGACCAGCCCTTCGGAGTGATATTCTATTCTAAGCAGGCTAATCAACTCCATGCTGCGTTCGATCTCTCTCTCACCCCTGGTGCGGCCTGCATGCGACAAACAGCAACTCCTCCTCCTCCTCCTCCTCGCCCTCTCTGCCCATCCACCAGTTAGACTAAAGGAAATAAGTCACGACGGGAGAGTAACTTGTATGGGCAAAATATCGACCTCTATCTCTCTCTCTCCTTTTTTTGTTTTCCCCTTTCCCTTTCCCTTCCCTTGCGACAAGAAGCAAGAAGGTCCAGTCCCAAGCCAGGCCTAAAATAAGGTGTTTCAAGCCTTGCTGGCCCGTCTATTGGAATTTCCGCCGGCCCTGATTGGCTGCTCGCTGCTTGAAATATATCCCAAGCAACTCCTGCCTGCATGCCTGCAACGGGCTAGCCTGGCGAGTTTTGGATTCATCTCTTGCATGAAGAGCGTACCCGTACCCACCAGGGGGGGAGAGGGAGGGGACGAGGAGGGAGGGAGAGAGTGGACAGGGACAGGTACTTTCATCTTGTATGGCCGCCTCGCCCGGGGGCCTTGTACCCATCCATCTTTATTAACAGGTACATAACTAAGTCAGTCTAACTAACTAACTTCACCTCCCCCGAACGAACTCAAAAAAAAAAAGGAAGAAGGCCCTCCTCCTGGTTATTTATACGGTATTGCCGTGACCGCTGCGGTACCTGCGAATACCTTTTT